AACAGTTTTCGTTCTTTGCAGGACTTGGTTATACAGGGGAGGAGAGCCTACTCAGGCACTTAGGCTGCAACAGGTGCTGTTGGTCTGAGAATATGGTCTAAAAGATAGATTGGTGAGTAGCAATTGGTGCTGTTTACTGTGGTTAACCCAATGTGTTTTTCATAATTTTAATATTGTTTATTTTTAATTTAACTTGCAGGTCATGGGTATATCAACTGAGCTATATCGTTGTCGGATAGGATCCTTCAGTGGTGGAAGTGCAGCTGCAACTTTCAGCAAACTATGCGTGAGAAAAACTGGTTCAAGGAAAACAGGAAGTTCAGTGTTGCTTCCTGCTGCTCTTTTGATACTATTGCTGTTGGCATCTGGCATTGAGCCCAACCCAGGACCCAAGTCTTTCTCATGTCAGCTGTGCTCCCGTCAGTACTCAACACCAAGGTATGAGTACTCTTTATGATCGGTTTAGTCTTGGTGAAGCCAAAGCCAGCCCGTAATTTGTTTTGAGTAATTTGAGTCGTGGAATGAGAAGTGAAGCCACACTGGAAAAACAAAGGTAGGACTTGAAGCCTTTCTAGGGGTGTTAAATTTTAATATACCTTTGCAAAGGCACAACAGTGTGCAATGACATTAAAATTTAGCTTCTTTAGACAAGTTGAATGCTTTTGTAAAGGCATTAACACCTTTGAGTCCTACCTTGTTTTTCCAGTGAAGTTTCAAGCAGCTATTGGTCGATTAGGTTACCTAATTCAAATGATGTAGTGGCTCCAGCTTCACTGGCTTCACCAAGCCTTAATCAATAATAGTCCTTTAAATATGGATATTAAATTTGTAAGATCTAATTACAATTCTGTTTCTAATTTAAAGGTCGCTGCAGAGTCATGTATCAAGGGACCACCAAAATCAACATCGTGCTGCTGCTATTTCCAATGCTGTGACAATGAAGTGTCCAATTGCATCTTGTGGAATTGTAATAACTAGCAGGGAACAGTACTTAGAGCACATGCCTACTCACATGAGAGAAGGCATCACATTTTCCTGTATTTACCCCAAGTGTAGTACACCTGTGAGGACACTTCAATCTTTCCGCTCTCATGTCTCCCTATCACATCCCCGAAAAAAAATGGAGCCTCAAGTTGAAATTGAAGAAGAACCAGCAAGTTCTGAATGTGAAGCTTCAAGTTCTCATCAAGGAAGACAGTCTTCTTCACCAAGTTTTCTTAATCACAATCAGGAAAGTTTGTCTTCACGTGTCCCTCAAGATAATAGTAATCAAGCCCAAGGTAGTCAGCCAGAGAATACTACTACAGCTAATGAAAGTGATAACCAAGAGAATTTATTTCCAGAGTATGCTGCAAAAGATCAGCTTGCTAAATTTTATCTCAAATTGGAGGCAGTTCACTTTTTACCATCTTCTACTGTCCAAATCATTGCAAACCAAATCAAACTGGTGACTGAAATGAGTCATCTGTTTTTAAAGAAGTCTTTAAAATCAGAACTTCAAAAAACTGGTTTTGATCCAAACACTGTGACCGAACTAATTGACAATACGTTTCGAGCTGACCCAATTTACAACATTCATCACAAGGCACATGATAGTGAGCAGCTTGGGACAGAACATCTTCGGATGAAGTTCTGGAAAGAGCATTATCCGTTTGTCGAACCTAAGGAAATTTATCTTGGAAGGGATGAGAATGGCAAGAAGAAGTTTGCTCATCATGTTTCTATCAGAGAGTCAATCGAGGTCATGTTGAGAGACCCCAAAGTAAAGCAGATGGTTCGGGATTCATTCCAAAGGAAACCATGCTCAGATGTTCTAGCAGATATTACTGATGGTTCTGCCTATACTGAACACATGAAGCAGCATTCCAATGGTAAATGTATATTCATAAATCTCTTTCAAGATGGTTTTGACTACAGTGCCTTTGGACCAAGTCAAGGTGTTTATAAACCAATTGGTTTTTATTTTTCACTTGGTAATTTAAAACCTGAATACAGAACCAAGCTAGACTTAATACAAATGGTTTATATGATTTTAGAAAAACACTTAAGACCATCTCAGAGAGAGGAGTTGGATGATGTGGACAAGCTAAAAGAAGCAGTTCTTCCATTAGTAAGTGAGCTAGAAGATTTAAAAATTAATGGAATTCTCTTTGATGGCGAGAATATCCCTGTTTGTTTGCTGTTTGGTCAAGGGGACAATGCGGGGCAGCACATTTTTGGAGGATTTGTTGGAAGTTTTTCCTGTCAACACTGTTGCAGGTTTTGTCCCATCTCCTTGAATGAATTTCGTGCAAAGCCAACTCTTACTAAACCCTTTAGATCTCCTGAAGAATATGATTCTGCTGTTCAAGTAGCCAAAACATTGTGGCATGCTGAACGAGACAAATGTTTAGAATCTATTCAAAGAAAGAAAGAAAGAGCTCAGCATCAAAATCTACTGGATAGAGTCCGTGCTCCTGGCACCAGAAACACTGTCAAGAATCTGTTGTCCAAAAGTGCCTTTACCAAGCTGCGAGGTATCCATTACCAAGGTGTGAAGTACAGACCTTCGCCACTGAATTCAGAGAAACTCGGTTTTCATGTTTGTCAGGGCCCATCACTAAGTGTTTGTTGTGCCCATGACCTGTTGGAAGGAATAGGAAAAAACATGATTCCTATAATACTGAAGCACTGCATTGACAAGGGATGGTTTGACTTCGCAACTTTAAACAGGAGAATTAGAAATTTTCCTTATGAAGGATCAGATTCGGCCGACACTCCCACACCATTGAAAACTTTGAAGGCCTTAGGTGGCAATGCATGTGAAAACTGGACCCTGATTCGTCTGCTTCCTTTACTCATTGGAGACTTGATTGTAGACAAAGAAGATGAAATGTGGCAGTTGTATTTGAAATTCAAAGGAATTGTTGAGTTTGTCTTTGCACCAAAAATTACAGTGAGCCAAGTTCTCTATTTAAGGTCTATAATCAATGAATTTCTGACATCAGTTCAGCAGCTGCTCCCTCAATGCCTGTGGCCAAAAGCACATCTTTTGTCTCATTATCCTGACTTAATCTTAGTCTTTGGTCCCCTCATAAGGCTTTTTACCTTAAGATTTGAAAGCAAACATGTTTTCTTTAAAAATGTTGCTAAAGCTTGCCGAAACCATATAAATTTTACTTACACTCTGGCCAGGAAGTATATGTGCCGCTTTGCATACAACAATTCTTCAAATCTAATTCAAGAAGATGTTATTTACCAACCTAATCATTCCTCACCAGTAATACAATCAAGCATTTCTGAAGAAAGAAGATCGGTCATTCCTACTGAATTTTTATCTGATGACCTGCTTACTGAACTGACCCAAGTGTCAGGGAAGGGAATCACATATAGAGTTGGTGACTATATGGTGCTGGATTCTCCTAACCAATGTGACTTAGAAGTTGGTTTAATTGACATGATATTTCTGAAGAAATCCACTGATGATATCTACTTACTTATGGCTGTTAAACCTGCAGAAAACACTTTTCAGGGGGTCTTCAAAATCATTATGCCTGCAACATCTTATCGGTTTTCTTCTTTGGAGAGCCTCCCAGACTATTACCCACTTCCCAGTTATTTAGTAGGTGGACAGAACTTCATCAGCTTAAAGCATTCAATGATCAAAATGTAATAAAAATTTAGGATTTTTAAATGTTCCCTCAACTATTTTTAACATTGGAAGTTACCAATTTTTAACTTGCAACTGTTATCAGTGTAGAAGTGATTAATTTTATTTATTTTGTCAACTATTTTTAATATTGGAAGTTACTAATTTTTAACTTTGACAAGTTTTTACTAGAAATTATCATTTTGATCTCATTACATTCATATGTGAACTCAGAGTATTTATGAGTACCTTGAAAACTGTTATTGTCTAAACAAAACATTGTGATATTTGCAAACTTGAGTTCAATAATATATAACAGTTGAATCGTTTCCCTCACTTGCATACTTTCTTTCAAATCACTTTAATAACTCAACAAAACGAAAAGAGCAACTTCTCTGTCATAATTATACAACTCTGTACCAAATATTTGTGATTTTCAAATCAACCACAAATGCTGTGTGATATAATAACCTTCTACACAAGTGGTGCTAAGTGAGCAGAAATTACATGAACTCAAAAGTTCAGTTCAATGCATGGTTCAAATGTTTTACTCTACTCTTTTAAATAAATTCACTCTCAGAACTGTTATGTAGAAAAGTAAAGGAGCATGTCACTGAATAAATGTTGGGAGATACACGCACAAGAAAAGAATTGCTTGAAAATTATTTATTATTCAAGGCATGCTACAGAGGACATGGCAGTCACTGAAGCCTTGAGCGCAATGATGTAGAAGGTGGAACCCACGTGCTTCGTCCTTTGAAATATCATGGATAACTGCAAACAAGAAACATAAAAACATGATTATCAATGATAGAAAAAGAACTCAGCTCGCCCCTTATTGGCAAAGTAATTTTGACATGAGAAAATATGTGATCTTTATCAAACTTTAAAAAAAAGGATTTACATAATTATACTTTGGAAAGAGAATCAAGTCTTTTCATCAGAATTCTACAACAACCAACCCATTAGTTAGAGAATAAAATGAACTCACTCTCTGTCAACTACTCCCATCCATTTTGGCAGGATCGTCTGCCAGCATCCAATGTGTAGCGTACTTGTTTGGGAAAGATTTAACCTCAAATCAATGAGCAGCAGACACCTGAAACATTCAAGAGAAGAAATTAAGCATAATAATAGTGCCAACATTTCAAAATTCTCGTGCAAAAACAATCGTTAAACAATAGCCACAGAAGCATTTTGAGTCACAACAAAGCAGTTGGTTATGATAACAGGATCACAAGAATTAAAGCAGATTTAGGCAGGCACTTAATGAGAGACATGTGGAGCAAGTAAAAATAATAAGGACGTTCGATTTTATTTTTCTCCAATAAACTAGGCATATTTAGCTGTTTTAAGCTGATTCGACAAGAAAGCAGACAACGACATCCAGACCAGAAAGGGTTAAATTAGCGCAGTGCGGAAAAGACACCAGAAGACGACGCCAGTCAGGACTAAAGGGCAAAGCGACGCAAACGCCAAAATATGGAGCGTCGCATCGAACCAGACGCCTGCGAGCGCCCCTGGCGTCTCCCCGACCACAGGTAACATTCTTACCTGCCGAGCCGCATAACCCAACCAGCGGAGCGGACCGACGCGAGTGTGAGCAGCAGACGACGAACTGACTGACTATAACGAATCGAAATCGAAAGTGTGTAGATAGTGGGGACGGCACTTATCGGCAACATCCACCTCAATATTGTCAAAAATTAAACAATATGGCGGATTGATGTTTTGGTTAGTACACATAAAGTTCATGTTCGTACCGAAATGCATTCATTGAATATTGACTTCTTAGAAGAGGTTTGAGGCGCTGACAGTCAGCAAAATGTTACACCTGACTTGCACCTTTGTTCAGAGAGGGACACTGGAGTGTTGTTCTTTTCGTGCAGTGATAAAATTAGTTCATATTAGTGGTTATGGCTAGGTTAAAGCCTGTCCAACTTCAAGTGTCTCTATCCCACCATTCTACCTTTTGATGACAACTCTCCATTTCAATCTTTCTGAGGTGAGTGAAACTAACTCAGTGGCAAGGAAACTTGCTCTCTACATATTTATTATCACTACATCAAAGTTCCATGGCATTAAGTACGAAACAAGATAACAAGTCCACACACAATATTGAGTCACAAAAAACTGGAAAGCAGGGAAAGTGATAATAGTTTTTTCCTTGAGATCAAGTGACAAATGAAAAGATTTGATCAGAATTACAAGCTAAAAGTTGCTTTTTATGCTGTTCACCATCTTTCATTATTTTTTTTATGATAAGACTAAAAAAAGTAAACGTTTACGGTGGAAGGCCTACGGTCTGTCCAGTTAATTTTTGTTACGGTCTGGACTGTGCTGGTTTTTACAGTATGTCACCGTTACGGTGTCTGCTCATCAACAGTCCAGTACCGTAACGGTGAGACTGTTTCTTGAAAAACTGTTTTGACCGTAGAGATACCGTATTGTGGTACGGTAATTCTAACAGTGTTGATGAGCTAAGGGCGGGGCAGAGCAGAGCGGCCGCGCCGCCGGTGGCTTACTATGGTCTGGTATTGTTGTACAAGGACGGGGCCTGCACCCTGACCTGACCTGCCTGACGCAGTATTGTTGGGTAGAGGAAGGGGCCTGAAGCGCGACACCCGGACAGACAGTCACTCACTGATTCCCCTAGCGCCAAATAAATTGTTTTCTGGTCTCCGCTTGGTTCTCTGTCCTTATCGAGAGTAAAAGCAAGCTGACACCTTAAAGTTACTTATATATTCTTTATGTTTCGTCAAAAGGTTTTTAAGGTATCATCTGCTAAAACATGCGCATGCAGTTCCTCTTTGGGAGGCACCTTGAGAATTTCACAATGATTTGTATTTTCTTTTGCACAGCTCGTCCTAGCCGCCCTTCTGCAGGAGGTCCTACTTCTCTGATTTGCGACGACGGTACCTCGCCCTTCATTTTACGCGAGCCGTAGACGAGACTACTCGCAAGTGCACATTGCAAGCGCAAGTGCAAGTGCCAGAGCGCTACCGCTCGGGGATTGAGGCCAGCTGCTTCTGTCTCGTACAAAGGAACGACAAAAGCAACTGCAAAGAATAATATTTGCCAAAAATGACACGGACGACTTTTGTTGTTTGAAGTGTGTCAACTTCCCCGTAAAAACGATCACTAATGATGTTGCCACTAGTGGCACTACTGCTTCTCTCCATCACCTGTGATCACGCGCCAACTACCCCCAACACACTCACCCTCAGACTTACACTCACAGACATACACATACGGAACCGCAGCCAAATGCACTTCGACAGCCAATCTATCGGATTGGTCCGCAATGCCGTGTCACACACACACACACCTTGAATCGCAATCAATACTCCGATATACATTCGCCGGACTGCCTATATCGCAATCAGGCGGCGGGTAACGAACCGTCAAAGTCACACACCAAACCCTTTTTGTTGTGCATAAACAAAGCATATGCAGATCTGTAAAGTTTGAATTTTAAGCAGCCATTGGTATGCACATTTTTATGATACAACTATGTGCAAATTGTACATATCTATGCACGAATTGTGCATTCTTCACAAGTGCATGAAATGCCGCGGTCACACAGTCAGTCACAACAGTCACAGTGCCCGGAACAAAGGAGTACCACGATAAAGTTATCCCGCACTCCTCAAAAGTCTCTCTTTTTTACTTCACGGGAACGGAAGTCCGCCGGGGGGCATTATAGGTGGGCGCGTTCGGCGATTATTTCTGCGGTGTCGCCCCTGGAGCCGCTCCAGAGCGGCCTCCAGCGCAGCCTCCAGCAGTGACTGCAGAGGGTCGGGACTGCTGATTCATATCTCTCTGCGGTGTGGTGGGGCGGGGCGGGGCGGTTCGCCTCGCGGGTGTTTCGGCCCCGGGGCTGCTCATGGCTGCAGCCCTGGACCCGCCCGCCCCGCCTGGACCTGACTACGATAAATATATCTTTTATTTGTGTTATTTGCTTCCCCTTCGCCACACTCTGCGGTGGGAACGCTTGCGGCGGTAGCGGTGGTGGTGGTGGCGGCGACGGGGTAGTAGAGGAGGAGGTGGGGTTGGAGGTGGGGGAGAACGAGGAGGAGGAG